ACTCACTTCTATGCGCTCCTCTAACTTGCGGACTTTGACCGCAAGACTGACGTTGACAGCCCTGAGTTGTTCCAATTCATGTTCCCGCTCCTTTTCTGCTCGTGTCTTTTCCTCCCACTCGGTGGCATAGGCTTTCAGGAGCTCCGGGGTGAGCTTCACCTCACACGCATCACGGACTAATTGGTCGGCTCGATAGACCTCCTTATCTATATTAGAGGAACTGCTACCAAAAAAACCGTTCTCAAGGATGCTTCCGGCGCTTGGTGACTGATCAATGTAGACATCGAACAGTTTGTCCTTCAAGAAATTAGTTAGTTGTGACATGTCGGACATTCCGAGGAGCGTTGTAGAGTTCTTCTGCATAAGTACTATGCCAAACCGAAGGATGGCGGATAGACCCTCAGAAAGAATGAGATCGTAGATCCTTAAAACTAGCTGGAGGGGGAACCTGTAGGCAAAAAGGGTAAGGAACCACTGAGTGGCATATAGATGGGGAGTAATGCCTCGGCGATGTAGATGACAATATAGAGCTGGTTCGAAGTCTTCTAGTAAGCGCTCAAATTGATATAGGTGCATGTGGAGTCCTGGCATATCCTGAATGAAGAGATCCCGTAACTTGTACTGGTTCATGAGGCGCACTAGTAGGCAGAAAGCTTCTTCTTCCGGCATGTTAAAGAGTAGTGGCATGATGAGGAAATTCATGCCCTGTGCGTATCCCACACCTTCATCAAAAAGTGCATAAGCTTTGCATACACCGAAAAGGCCATCTTGTAGACCTGCTGCAACGGCGTGCTTCGAATAACTTGTCCTGGTACCAAGGTCTCTCCGAATGATCTTTTCGAGTTTCTGCAAGGCAACCGCGTCTTCTTTCTCCTTCTTTTTCCTTTCTGCCGCAGCCAGGGCTTGGACCTTCAAAGCAGCTTCAGACAGCTCAGGGGGTGTGCCTGGTAGTCTCTTGCCACTAGTACCAGACTGCTCAGATTTAACCGAGGATGCAGATGATGCGGCAGGCTCCTTCTCAGCACTCAGGTTGCCGTTACTAATAATGCTGACCCCCGTGCTATTGCTATTCCGATCCTTATCTTTCTCGGTTCCTCTAGATGCCAGTTCCTTGTATACCAACTCCAAGTCTTCGTTCTTGCTTTGAGCAAGTACTTGCCAAACGACGCCGCGGATAGCATTAGGGATGCCGGTTGTAATAGCCCGGTTCAACTCTTCGGGGCTTGTTCGGGCAACAGCGGCCGGTCCTTCGTAGACCACAGACTGCCAGAGATCCCAGTCGACTAAGGCATCAGCCATTGCCGATGGACCAGCTGATACGCCCGAAACAGTACCAGGGGCAAGATTGGTGTCCGCGCCCGGGGGTAACGGTGATGTTGGTACTTGGCTGTTTGTTACTTCACTATTATCCATGCCGGGGTTCACTATGCCCATAGTAGCCGAACGCGTTATCAGATTTACGGCAGTACCTTGGGACTGGTCATCTTCTGTTGGGTTCAGAGATATCCCGGCCTCTTCTCGCAACCGTACCATCTTGAACCTGTCCTTTAAACTGTTCCTCGACAGGCGAGGACCTCTACTCACACCGTCCGTTTCGTTTTCTTCCTCCAACTTGCTTAGCATCATCTCGGGATTGCTAGTCAGTGTAGCTATGGAACTTGCAGTATTTCGCCTCGGAGAGCCCGTGCCGGTTGCGGGTGCAGAGGTGGCGTTTTCTTTGTGGCCAGAATTACGGGACAGCCAAGAGAAGGGACTCGTAATCTTTCGTGTGGGAGGAGGCGGAGGCGGAGGAGGAGCGGCTATATTTGAGACCGTAGGAAGATTAGGACTTGTCTTCGGCGGTGACTCGGGGTTTGAGGGAGACCATGGCATCGAAGGCAGCGAGGCCGTGATATTGCTTAGTGAGAGCTTCTTTGTGGGTTGTTTTTCTGCTTCCACCGCTGCTTGTACCTCTACTTCTGTCTTATGTTAGCCCTTGCAGTTTCGCGTAGGAGGGTCTTCAGAAGATTAACCTTTTGGCTGTTCGCTCTGTGCGCCGTCACCAAGGTCCACATTGTCCAGTGAGACGTTCGAAAGTCGCTTTGAGGTTCGTGCAGAATCTATAGTGGTGGTTTCATTCAGATCGTCCGGTTTCTCGGTTGTCTGCTCTGCTGCGTCTCCATTTGAATTCTCTTTTTCCACAGAGCTTTCTGGAGCATCTGAGCCACCATTTGCGTCGTTATTGGCCGGCCGGAACGCGTTTGGTTGGGAAACTTTTCGGTTCGTGAGAGATCGAACAGACCCAGTATCAATGGCATCTTCAAATTTGTCCTACGTGAAACTATCAATTAACTATGAAGATCCTTCTATGCGTCGTAATGTAATGTGGAGTGGGTGGCAGCCGAGCAGGGCTGTCTATATGAAGATAATCTACGTACCGTGTCCCTGTCAGAAGCGGTTGGCGAATCATCGGGTCGAGGAGTCGTTTCAGAGGCAGGCTCCTCAGGGGCCGACATGTTGCCTGCCGATGATGGACCAAGGAGTGCAGCGTGCTTGAAGGTCAGAGTCGAAGTTTAAATCAGAACGTAAGAGGGGCCTTTCGTAGTGTTGTATTCAAGGCGTCTCGGCCATTGGTAGCGGACTAGTTACTATACGTAAGTCAAGTCGAGGGAGGTTACAACGTGCAGACGACAATGCAACGTAGTGCGTCTGCCGTAGGGGTGGGCTAACCAGGTGGACGAATCAAGGAAAGATAAGAAGAGTACCAAACGCTGGATCACAGTTGGGAGATATGTTATGTGTCGCTGATGGGGAAAAGAGCATGAAAGAAGTAAGATTGAGGTGCTCGGTTCAGGTAGTTTGTTCTTTTTCTTCAGGTTCTCGTATGTAGATACAGCACGTGTAGGTACCTGCTGTGCTGCTGCCGGCGACACTGACAATCACTGACAATCACGAGTATGTAAGTTGGTGACTGGGATGAACACCAGCTTGTTTCTGCTTGTTCAAAGTGCAAATCCAATTGACTGGGTCTTTCTCTCCCCCTGCGTGGCGGCATGCGGCGTGCGTATCGGCGTGGATATGAATGTACATACATATGTACACTCAGCTTGTAGACAAGTTTCGCGGGTTACTTCCATACAGTAGGTAGCTTAACGCGTGGTATAGAGTTGCCCCAGAGCCTCCTGAAGGTTCTGACGACCGTCCAGTTGTAGTAGTAGCCACCTATTGTAGTTTAGAGGACCGTGAGAATAAGAAAAGGGCATCGGAGGTACTTACTTACATGCAGGCGGAACGATGTGCCAAGCTGCTTAGCTGCATGCGTAGCGGGAAGCTTAAGGTATGCCGGAGGGCTTGTGGTACTAAAACGCCCGCTAGCACAGGCAAATCAGGGGTTCAGGGGCACTCATCTTATTGCTATAAGATGAGTTCGTGACATGCGACATGTTCTTCCTTTGTCGCCTTATAATTATGCCAAGTACTGGTTCGAATGTCTTCTTTCTGGTATGTCTTCACCGCTACTATTCGAGGTTACCCGAAGGCGGTAGCTTACTGAGCTAAGGAAGATGATATTGTTATTCCTGGCCGCCTTTGCCGCATTCCTCCCACGATGCTTTCCATGTTGTCGTGCAGCTTCACCCCTAGAACTTTCTCGCATGTGTATTAATTATATTATTTCTTGTTTATCTGCCTAGAACCTAGATGTTTCAAGATTTTATGTATAAGTAATTAAATATTGTCGAGAGCGCTAAATGAATTAGGCGAGGAGATGAGCTGTCTCTACTACAGTTCGCGCTCCGGGCCATAATACAACAGCCATCTTATGGAAGGATTCTATCCAGCCTACACTCAACGGTCAAGAAGCAAAGCCGACTCAGATATTTCTATGTATCCGGTCTATAATTTTGGAGCTGACGTCATAACATGGTTGCTTTGCAATAATCTCACCTCAATTACACTTGGCACAACATGAAGATAAGCTTTGTTCGTATTGTCAACCATTTCTATTTTGTCCAAATTCTCGAAGAGCTGATGACAACAGTCGGTGTGGTGATTGAGTTATTCCAATCGTTACTTCGTTACCGACGGCATCTTCGCGTTCCAAACCCAGGTTGGAAACAGCCGATCTGGCGCTTATAGTAGAAATTATATACGAGCTACCTTATGTGTAGGTAGTCGTTTGGCAAGCGGTTCGACTGTGATGGCCTAAAACAGAAACCTACCAATACGGTGTATTCGGGATATCGCTTTATTAACGAGCTAACTTTATTTCTCACTTAGTGGCGTCTGTCAATTGAACCCTCTCTACCTGCATCCCTTCAAGGTCACGGTGCTGGGCAGCTTTCATCAGCATGACAATACGTTCTCCCTGTAATACTTCATCATGGTGCATACCATCTACCAAGACTTAAGATCAGGCTGTCCGCGAGTGTAAGTGTATAGTGCGCCTGGCCTAAAGGCTGCACTTTACGGTCGGAATGTCCGCGGTACAGTGTTTTCTGTATAGGTTATCAAGTATCTTGTCAGTATTCCGTAAAATAACAGGTTACAATGTCTCTCTTCGACTTTCCTATTCATGCTACTCCCAACTGCAACCTGCTGGAGGGTTAAGTTATTTCCCATTCACTCAGAGATCAGTGCGGATTTGTGCGGGAAAATATGTGTTAAATTGCAGCAACTCAAAGGCTCTAATGTAATGTCGATGGTTTGCCTCATACTATAAATAGATACGGTTATACCGCAGCTTCGCTTTGCACATCTTTTGGGGCTCCCACTCTATAGATCTCAGCTGTCCGACAGCTGCACAAGCTGAATTGCCAGTGTTTTGCGCCAGTACATAAGCAAATATCCACACCTCCACATCCGCCCTGTTCATCCAACCATTCGCATTCCTTGACGTAGCATTACCTCGCCTAGCCATGGAGAAAACCTGCACCGAAAACTCGCGCACAATATAAGCTACAATAAGCTGCCGCCCTCCATCCAGGAATTAGCATCCAATCAGTTGCTACATTCAAAAAATGGGGCTTGTGGTTTAGTGGTATAATACTCCCTTAGCATCGGATCACCAATTCGGAGATTCACTAAGTTGGGAGTGGTCCGGGGTTCGATTCCCCGCGAGTCCATCATCGGAGGTTAGATTCCTCCTATACCAGACTTTTTTTTCTCTTCATATAGAAGCTTATAGACCGTGTTTTATTCAAAACCCATGTGGGAATAATCTACACTTATTTTTGTTACTTAACCTCTATTACATCTAAGTCATATAGGCGGGAAATATTTTTATATGCTGTCCTGAACTTTAACACCCAGGTATCAGTAATTGCGTCAAAATTGAACACTTGTTATATTGGTATCGATTGACCAATGGCCTTTGAGCGCTGAGATCGATATTAACCTCATAGACTTTCTGCGTTGACTTCCGATTGAAATAGTTATAAATGACAGCAGTATCTAAAATCATGTCATAGTTATTGATGCAGCGAACTTCATTCCAAATCGTAGAGTCACTTTCGAGTCTATCATTGTCTTAAATTAATGTGGTACGAAGAGTTAAGTTCAACATCGTCCATAATTGTTGAGGTTTACAATTCTCATCCCATTAATGTACATAACATGCCGGAACGATGTGGCAGACACGGGATAGACTAATTACTAGGCATAGCTAGAATATTGTGGCTTCCAACAAGAATGCTGCGCTTAGATATCGATATAAGCCCCTCCTCTTAGCTTTTGATAATTAAGGGCTAGAACATTACTACTGTAGTAAATGTCAAAATAATAAATAAGCCCTAAGCCACAAACAAGCCAGCAGCGCAAGGTCTGAAGAGTAATTACTTATTTACGACGTAAGCAATACGCAATCTGCACTGAACTGCAAGAGGCACAGAGTGGAACGGTGGTATTTGGGAGAATGGGTTAACGTTAGTGATATGTCATGGGCTATCTCGTATTAGAAAGGGAACCGAAAGTCAGGTGTATTTGTACCAATACCCTTTAGGATGGCTATATCGAGCATTTGGGTATATATTAGGGCTCCGCTGCCCTCTTTAAGGGTTTGGGAGGGCCATGAATCAATGAAAATGAGCCCTGGTCACGTATTTCACACCTACTTCTTAACAGCTAATAGGCTTTTATCCACTCTGTCACCAAACCCTATAATACCGAAATTTTTCCACATATAAGATATCAGGATAAGAATAAACAAAGAAAAGACCGCCAAAAGCGGGTTTAAATTCCCATTTGTCGGTGTAGGGCTCTCGCCTGGGGTTGGTCGATGTAGAAATCTGCATAAAAGGGTAGTCTGTTTGAGCTATTTATTACCTCTAAATCGAAGTGATATTGGAAGCTACTACTGCTACCTGAACAATCGTCTTCATAAGTAACGTGTTACATAGCCAAGAGCTTACGTCAAGCTCCTACTATAGCATATAGCATCTGTGATCCGGATTAAGGCATATCAGCAACGCTATAGTTCAATCCAGCACTTAAATATCCCTTTAAGTATTGACTGTCCAAGTCTACCCCTTCCAAAATATCGAGCCATGATATCAGATTAAACTAACTTGGCCATTACAAGCTTTTATGTGCATACAACTCTAAGATTCAAGACAATCTCGAAACTGATAATAACACCGCGGAGACAGTCACGAAGGAGGCGCCTAGCACGTCTATTAACTTAGGTCAAGGTACACATTTGTTGATGATATGGTTTTATTACATCCTACAGAATCTTTTTGTAAAGAAAGTACTAGTGTACATCTCGATAAGACTCAGCCAAACATGAAATGATCGTTCGACTTGGTCGCGGAACAATAGCCCGAAATCACTTGTAGGACTATTACAGGATGCTCGTTTTCCCTGCTTCACAACTGTGGATATAGAATGTCTATCCCCAGTGCACGGGGGAGAAACAAGCTAGTTGCGATATGAGCTTCGACGCTTCCGTGAAGTATATATAATGAGAAAGCCGGCTCTTTTTCGAAATTATACATAAAAGGCAGGCGAGTACTAATAGGGCGAGCCTCCGGTTAACCCCAAACCAATAATACAACCCCACCTTTGGGGATTACACGTTATACATTAGCGTGTGAGGGGTGGTATAGGAGATGATCACAGTGCTCATCACAGGTCCCAAAAATCGTCACGGGTGCTAGGCAAAGCACCTGAACATCTTTATAAACATATCTATTTCTCATAAACTTTGTCACAGCCGGCTATGACGATTAAGGTAACTGTTACTAGATTTCGGGGCGGTCTCGAGAATCGAATACCTTGTTTGGAAAGAAAAAAACCCCCCAATTAACACTAACGCTATATACACATATACATATTATATGTATTATATTATTATTAATAGTATAAGAATATATATTATGCGCATACGACTTAAACAATAAACCTACGTTCATAATTACAAATTGCGGCATTTTACCACTACGTTACGTATTACGAGATATTACGAAGACACTGCTGTTGCCGGTATTTTGGTCAATAAAAGCTATTCGAAGTATGAAAGGCCTGGCCGGGACGGCTTTGAAATTTCGAGACGATCTCGAACCGCTACATGATTTTTAACCGTTAATACGATTTTAACCGCTATGCCGATTTTTCACAGCTACAATGGTTTAAACTTTTCAAACTATCACGAAGCAAGTATTATTAAAATGAAAAAGACGGTATTGCATATGAAATAAGCACTGTGATTGTCCCAAGCTTTAAAAACGATGCCTGACCAGCGGTGACCATCTCGAAACCTAGGACAAGCACGGTGATCATGTCCTGTAACCCCCCTCCCCCTCGTACTGTATTGGAGAGGGTGACACTCATGTTCAGATTCTAGACGTAGCACGGTGTCACGCAAGCTTCTCCGCACTCTTTGAAGATCTTTCACTATGATCGTTGATAAGCGTTCTGGTAACGGCTACTCCTGAATGGAACTGCCGAAGCTTATCTCGCAGTTCTATGGGGACCTATATCGAGAGATTACCTACGATATACAGAGAAACTACTTGAATCCCGCAAAGTTGTCCTTCCATTCAGATCATTCAGGGCAAGGTACCTGAAAACTGCAGACAAGATGCGAAATCATATGGCCGCCGGGTGGTTTTACTCCCCTCAGCAGATATCAACGTACTTCCTGACTCGCCCCACGAGCTTGAAACCACCCAAGACGAAGCTACGCAATCCAATCCACGTGCTCGCCGACCTCGACCGCCATCAATGGTTAATGTTTTCCGTTGGGCTCCTCGGCTGGACCTGGGATGCGTTCGACTTCTTCACGGTGTCCCTGTGCGTGACCGAAATCGCCACTGAGTTCAAAACGGCAAACTCGTCCGTGACTTGGGGGATCACCATCACTTTGATGCTTCGATCCGTGGGAGCCTTGATCTTCGGCAGTCTAGCGGATCGCTATGGACGAAAGTGGACCATGATTACGAACCTCTTCTTGTTCATCATCTTCGAGCTCGCTTCTGGATTTGCGCGAACCTTGCCGCAATTCCTCGGCGTGAGGGCATTGTACGGCATAGCCATGGGTGGCCTCTACGGGCCCGCTGCGGCTACGGCGCTTGAAGATCTTCCGTACGATGCTCGTGGTATATTGTCTGGCTTGTATCAACAGGGTTATGCTGTAGGATATCTGCTTGCAGCCGTGTAAGCAACTTTCCGTTTTCTTATCCCTTTACTGATAAATTCGGTCCCCAAATTAAAAATATAAAAAATATATAATTTTTTTTAAACTTTTTTTGTCTGCGGGATTCGCTTGCCAGAAGCGAAAACATTGCCCTGGAGACATCGATTTATTGTTCAAATAGAGCAGATGCTGACTCCGAGGGCTGTAGCTTTTACCGAGCTGTAAGTATCCACGAAGTATTATTGCGCATGTTGTATCTAACAGTAGGCAGCTTGTGCCTACAACAACCCACGGCTGGAGATCACTGTTCTGGTTTGGCTCTGGCCCACCTATCTTAATCATCGCGTTCCGATGGTGGCTGCCAGAGACCAATGCTTCTCAAGTCATAAGAGCTGAGAGAGAAGCCGCTCTGGCTCACAGAAACAACTCGGAAATCACCGCTACCAGTGGTGCCAAGGCATGGTTTCAAGAGGTCCAAGCAGCTCTTAGAGAAAATTGGTTTCTCTTCATCTACATGGTTGTGTTGATGACAGGATTCAATTCATGCAGCCATGGATCACAAGATCTATACCCAACGTTTCTTAAAAACCGTATGGCACTAGCGTCTATGAAATATTCGGACATAATGCTGACTTGTCGCAGAGGTTGAGCTAGGTCCGACAGAGGTGACGGTCATCAGTGTGGTCGGGCAAATCGGTGCATTAATCGGAGGTACAACTATCGGTTATGTGAGCACGTTCTTTGGGCGAAGGCTCAGTATGATCGTCTGCTGTATAATCGGCGGCGCAGTTCTTCCAGCCTATATATTTCCCAGATCCCTTGGTCTGATTGCCAGCGCTTTCTTCTTACAATTTTTCGTTGGCGGGGTCTGGGGCCCAATTCCCATTCATTTGAGCGAACTCTCGCCGCCATCGCTTCGAACAACAGCTGTGGGATTCACTTACCAGCTTGGAAATTTGGCATCGTCGGCATCAGCTACGATCCAAGCGACGATTGGCGAACGATTCCCCCTGTCGCCGAAGAATGGCGTCGAACGCTACGATTATGGCAAGGTAATTGCCATCTTTATGGGAGCCGTGTGGGCATACATGCTCTTCTTCCTCTTCTTCGGGCCAGAAATGAGTCAAGAAGAGAGGGCGGAGTACGGTGCTGCGGCAGACCAAATTGAAAGTTTGCGAAAAGAGGGTGCCAGCCTAGCTGAAATAGGGGCTCAAAGGGCCAAGTCGGCCGCTCTAGGCGACGATTCGCGTCACGACGAAATATCAGAAAAGCCTACCGGTATCGAACATATTGAACGGAGCTAAGAGTAGTGGCATGTCAATCAGCTACTCTTCACAATAAAGCAGGAATTCTGAAAGCATAGTTGTTTGGGCAAGTGAGTATATGGGGCTTAGGAGAGTTTGAACTTATCCTCAATGTGCTACACTGGCAATATTTTGCTTGAAACTCTTTCAATGATCTTCATCTGATACCTGGAGAAGGTATACATTT